CCCCATAGCCATTAGAATCAGAACCCCATAGCCATTAGAATCAGAACAGGGCACCAAGGCACTCCTATAAGCACAGGACATCGGGAATCTCAGCCGTGGGGCACGAGGCCCTTCATCGCCAATGGGGCACCGACCCCCCCCCGCTCACATCCAGTGATGTGGGGGACGACACTTTGGGGTCTCAGCTCCTTGCTGAGGCAGCACCAGGAGCCTCCAAACTCTCCCACGTCTCCCAAAGAACCGCATCCCTTACACAGAGGGGGGGCTGTGCTTCCCACCAACTCTTGGTTCCGGCCCGTCACACCACCGTCCTTATAGGGACAGACGATGGCAGAACCAGAGAATGGGAACAGTGGCCATCAGGGGGCTGCCCCCACCCCAATTAGCGGTGCTCCCTCATCCCAGCTGAGCCCGGCAGTGGGGACAGTGGAGCTGTTAGTGCCAGAGGAGCCCAAAGGAAAACGTGTTAGTGCAGCTGGGGGACGGGGGCCCTGACAGCTTCACCTCAACGTGACAAATGCCATTTGTCATCGCTCAGCCTGGAAAATAAAGTAAATCTAGAGATGCGGCCCCCCGGCTGCCTCCTCCCCAGGATGGCAATCTGCAGTCTGCTATCTGGTCGGTGAGTGATGGCTCCCTGGGGGAAGGTGGGGAAATGAGCTGCATGAATCTCTGCAGCTGGGGCTCTGCAGCGTCCTGCGCTGTGGGGGGAGAGGAGGGGAACGGGGGGCAGGATGTGGGCACTGCACAGCGCAGCCAGGGGTCAGGGGCAACGCCATGGGGTGAGTGGGTCCTCACAGAGCACAGAGGCATGGAACAGGGTGGACTTTGGAAAGGACTTTATAGATGACAATGATACAGGATTGGTTGGGTTGGGAGGGACCCTATATAGAGGATTGTATGGAATTGTCAGGTTGGAAGGGAGCTTACGGACTACAGAGCCATAGGTTCTGTTGGGCTGTGTTGGAAGGCACCTACAGATTAGAGACACAAAACTGGTCGGGCTGTGCTGGGTTGGAAGGGTCCTTGCAGATCATAGGGCTATGGGATGGTCAGGTTGGGTTGGGTTGGAAGGGTCCTTGCAGATCATAGGGCTATGGAATGGCTGGGTTGGGTTGGGTTGGAAGGGTCCTTGCAGATCATAGAGTCATGGGATGGTCAGGTTGGGTTGGGTTGGAAGGGTCCTTGCAGATCATAGGGCTATGG